AACGTTCTTGTCTTTAGCTAAAGGTGACATATGCATTATGTCTATTTGATATTCATACCTAGCAAACGGAGCGGTGTAGGAATTAGTACCTCTATATTTTTTTTTTTATTTGGTTGTTTCTTTAAGAAAGACTTTACATCGTCTAATGTTATTGTTGGGTCTTCTTCCTTTGCCTTCTTGTGTGTCGCTTGTGTGCTTCCGAAACCCTCGTCTAAGTCATAATAGATGTTGCTGATTATTTGGTCTTTCGTTAATCTTGCCATTATATTATTTGTTAGAAAATATTTTTATCAACATAAACCCCCACCCCTTAACATTAAAAAAACTACTTAAAGAGAAAAAACCTTATATATTAAGAGAAAAATGAGTGAGGGTAAAATGTCTGAGAATAATTTGATGGTTGAGAATTGGACTAGCTTACCTGAGGGTTTAGCTTCAAACATCACTACTTACATTAATGGTTGTGAAGGGTGGCGAAGACTGAAACAATGTGATGCTTTAAGAGAATTACAGAGGAAATGGAAACCGTCTATTTACATTGAGCAAGTAGGAGAAAGTAAATATTATGTTAAGATTCACAATAAATGCTTAAAAGGTGATAAAGCACTGTCATATATGTTGAAACCACCAAAAGATTTTTTAAGATTAATGAAGTATGATGATGAAATAAAGATTGGAATAGAAGTTAGTTCAAAAATTATGTATAATAATAATATTTGCAACTGTTGTTCTTATGCATCAAGCAAACAGAATAAGATAACAAGTAGAGCGTCATTACAATTCTATATTGAAAAAATGGTTGAAGAAATAAAACAGACTATGAAACGACACGAAATCATTACTATAGAACATATTACAATTGAAATGAAACCTGAAACCCCCAGCTAAAAACTACTTAAAGAAAAAATAATATAATATAATAAGAGACAATGAGTGAGAAATGGACTAACTTACCTGTTGATATATTAAAAAATATAATTTCATATAAATTAGGGGAACCTGAGTATTTGAATATAAAACATAATCATATTGAGACATTAAAGAGAATACAACAGCGATATAAATTTAAAAGAACTGAAACAAAACGAAAGACAAAGCGCTATACTGTTGAAGATGGTGATGATTTCAAGAGACACATAATTAAGTATTACATTTCAAGAAATATACCTTTAAGCATTGGAAGCATCGAAGATATAGTTTTTAATGAAAATGAAAACTTAGATTGTTTGTTAGATGACATTGAAACCGATAACGGTTATGAAGCAGTGATAATAGTTGAGGTATGTTTATTTGTGAGGGGTCATCAAGACGATGATTCTAGAACTTTTACGTTCTTTTCTCATAGTGATGATGTTGTAGATAATGTAACCATAGATAATTTAACTGAAGTAATGATGGCGTCGTATCAAGAAATAAACAGTTGTATTGATGAAGAAAGAAGTAGAACGGAGTTTGGAGGAGTCAAAAGCATAAAGTTTAAGCTAATTGTTGATGAACCTGTATAATTCAAAACTAAACCATAATTATATCATTTATATTCTTATATGTTATAATTATAGTGAACTTTTAACCTATAAACATTTCATTAAATGACAAACCAGAAGACCCACCCAAAAGCCAACCCGTGAAACCGCAGAAAGTCCTATCCTCTTTCAATCAATAAAACTAAAAGTTGAAATCTGGAACGACACAGGGGACCAAATCATCAATTCGTTACCACATCCATATCGTTATTTCATGCCCCCAAAATCAGCCTTTTAAAAACGGATAAGGTGGTACACGTGTTGAATTGTGAATTAAAAAAACAGAACAGGCAACCATCTACCCCCCACCCCCTAGGACAAGCCTTTTCTACATTTTTTCCCCCACCCCACCCCCACCCCCGCCACCCCACCGCCACCGCCACCGCCACCCACCCCCTCCCCCCCACCACCCCACCCCCCCCACCACCCCACCCCCCCACCCCCACCCCCGCCACCCCCACCACCCCACCACCCCCCACCACCCCCCACCACCTCACCCCACCACCACCCCACCACCCCCCACCACCCCCCACCACCCCCCACCAACCCCCACCACCCCCCACCACCACCCCCCACCACCCCCCACCACCCCCCACCACCCCCCACCAGCCCACCACCCCCACCACCCCCCACCCTCCTTTGCGCGCAGGCGATGGTGGCAGCGGTGCCACAGACAAGGAAACGGGGTCGGCCACGCAAGGAATCAATGGAGGTGCCGTGCGAGTTGGCAGGAGCCTCATGAGGGGGGGTGCTCCCTTGTGCGCAGGCGATGGTGGCAGCGGCGCGACAGAAAAGGGGACCAGGTCGGCCAGTCAAGGCACGGTGTAAATGCGCAAATCAATGGAGGTGCCGTGCGAGTCTGCCGCAGGCGATCGGCACGCAAGGAATCAATGGAGGTGCCGTGCAAGTTGGCAGGAGCTTAATGAGGGGGGGTGCTCCTTTGTGCGCAGGCGGTGGTGGCAGCGGCGCCACAGAAAAGGGAACCAGGTCGGCCACCCAAGGCACGGCATACATGCCGCAAATCAAAAATGGAGGTGCCGTGCGAGTCTGCCGCAGGCGATTGGAATCAATGGAGGTGCCGTGCGAGTCGGCAGGCGCCTCATGAGGGGGGGTGCTCCTTTGTGCGCAGGAGGGGACCGGGCCGGCGAGTCTGCCGCAGGCGATCGGCGTGCAAGGAATCAATGGAGCCGTGCAAGTCGGCAGGAGCCTCATGAGGGGGGGGTGCTCCTTTGTGCGCAGGAGGGGACCGGGCCGGCCATACAAGGCACGGTGTAAATGCCGCAAATCAATGGAGGTGCCGTGCGAGTCTGCCGCAGGCGATCGGCCCGCAAGGAATCAATGGAGGTGCCGTGCGAGTCGGCAGGAGCCTCATGAGGGGGGGTGCTCCTTTGTGCGCAGGAGGGGACCGGGCCGGCCACACAAGGCACGGTGTAAATGCCGCAAATCAATGGAGCTGCCGTGCGAGTCTGCTGCAGGCGATGGCACTGGGCGGCAGTGCCAGTGGCGCCAAAGCGAAAAGTGGCGCCAAAGCCAAAGCAGGCCTCGGCGCGGCCTCGACTCACAGGAAAACCGGCGGACGACCCAAGCGTGAGTGGGAGAGTGAGAGCGTGAGTGAGAGAGTGAGAGAGCGAGTGAGTGAGAGCGAGTGAAGGAGGAGTGAGAGAGTGAGAGAGTGAGAGAGAGGCAGTGAGAGAGTGAGGAAGTGAGTGAGAGTGAGAGAGTGGAAAAGTGGGAGAGTGAAAGAGTGAGATGAGAGAGTGAGAGAGTGGGAGAGTGAGAGAGTAGGAGAGTGAGAGAGTGGGAGACTGAGTCAGTGAGGGAGTGAGAGAGTGGAAGAGTGAGAGAGTGAGAGAGTAGAGAGTGGGAGAGTGGGAGAGTAGAGTGAGAGAGTGAGAGAGTGAGAGAGTGAGAGAGTGAGAGAGTAGGAGAGTGAGACAGTGAGGAAGTGAGTGAGAGAGTAGTGGTGAGTGAGAGAGTGGGAGAGTGACTCTTGGAGAGTGAGAGAGTGGGAGACTGAGAGAGTGAGAGAGTGAGAGAGTGAGTGAGAGAGTGAGAGAGTGCCCGCCTCTCTATGCTTCTGATCTCGTGGAGTCTTTGGACGCCACTCACATTGTTCAGCCGGTCGACTCCGAGAGCACGTCGACAAAGTCGCTTCCTTCCGGTGGCGCCTATGGCGGCTTGTCTTGGTGGAATCACTAGTGTCTCTCACTCTCTCAGATGCTGGCAGCTGTGCCTAGGCATATCTTGGCAGCATTACCGCGCGGCAGCTTCACAGCAGCTCGTGTCAAAGGGTCAGGCGAGGTCAGCTTCTTATCTATATACACTGTTTTGTGTTGCGCCCAGCTGGCCAGGGCAATCTACAGCCCACCGCGACAAAGGTGGTGGCTGCAACTTGGAAGACGCTAAGCGACGAGCAGAAGCAGGCCTTCCAGGCACGGTCGGCGTTTCATGGATGTTTCGGACATGCGCAAAATCATGGCAAACGATAGGGCCCTTTCCGTTCCTTTCTGCTTCCCTCCTTGCCTTACTGTCTTCGGAAACCTTCGTGCATTGCTCTCGTCTTCCCTCCTTACCTTCCTGTCTTGGGACGCCTTTGTGCCTGGCTTCCGTATTACTCTCCTCCTTTCTCTTGCCTCTTGCTCGTTTCTCTTCCTCCGTGCTCTTCATCCCTTTCTCCCTGTCCTCCCTTCCTCTGCTCCCACTGCTTCTTTCTTTCCTTGCACCCATTCTTCCTTCTGTCCCACCTTCCTTTCCTTTCCTTCCCACCCGCCCCGCCCCTTTCCGTCCCGTTCTTTCTGATTTTTCCATCATTCCTGCAATGCTGTTATGTGGCACGAATAAACGCTGGACACGGTGCCTCATATCGGGCTGCGCTTGAGGAGGTGTATGATCGGCGGAGGGCTGCCCAGAAAGCGCAGCGTCAGCAGGAGGATATCGCCACAACTCAGCTGCGACAGCAGGTGAGGCAGCTTCGACAGCATGGCAAGCTGCTCGACACGCTGCAAAAGCAAATGAGTTGCCTGCTGAGCAGCCTCGCCTATAGCGGCCATGGCTCATGCCGAGCATGCAGCGTAATTCATAATCAGGCATTGTAGATAGATAATGCATTGCGAGTTGCGATTCACACGTTTTCAGATTCGGTGTGGGTTTACCACCCCCCCCACCACCCCCCCACCACCCCACCACCCCCACACCCCACCCCCCACCCCCACCCCCACCACCACCTCACCCACCCCCACCCCCACCACCACACCCTTCCCACCCTCCACACCCCACCCACACCCCACCCCACCCCACCACCCACCCCGCCCCACACCCCACCCCACGCAACCCCACCCCACCACACCCCACCGCACTCCCCCAGCTACCCTATCTCCAGGTACCCTCCAGGTACCCTCCAGGTGCAAGGGTAAACGAGCAGCAGCTGGTTTTAAGGCAAGCCTTGGCTCCGGGCTGTGCCAGTGATCGAAATCGCAGGTCTTGATCGCGCACCATGTGGCCAGAGCGACCTGGCACAACAAGTTCTGGTGGGTGGGGGTGGGTGGGTGGGGAAGGTTTGAGCATGTGGCTGTGTTTGTCAAAACCGTTTTCGTACCATTTTGGAATTTTGGGCTTAGTTTATTTTAGTGGGGATTGGGATGTTTATTGGGGGTACGGGATTTTGACCCATGGCCATGTCTCTAAGTCTAGGGATAAAATAGTTGCCATGATTTGATTTAGGCCCTTAGATTGTCGCAGTGTCTTCTTTTGAAGGTCTAGCGTTCGCTGGTCCAAAAAAAAGTTATATCTCAGAGTAGACTAGACACGAAGCAGAAGCAGATAAAAACAAACACATATACTTTATGTTTACCTCCGTGGGTCAAGTGTGGGTTGAAAAGCGAGCCTGCTGATGGAGAGCCATCAATACAAACCCACTGCCTCAGGCGCCTGGGTTAAAAATGGCGAAAACCTCGCGGACTGTGTACATGCCCAGTGCCTGAAACATGGATTCGGGGGAGGGGGTGACTAGAAAATGGGGATTGGGTGAAGAAAAAAACCAACCCTCCTCCCCAGGTATGGTGGGCGGGGGTCTGTGTACGTGCTTCAGGGTTGTGGGATCACTCGGGGTTTATCCAACTGTGATGCAAGCGAATGCCTTCTTTGTATGGGTAGTCTTTCGGAGGCCCGTTGTGGTTGTATCACAGAAGTCGGCAAATCAGCGAGTCTAGATTCGATATCTTGCCTGGCATGGCCGAAATCCAATTGGGCCGTGTCTAAGTCTTTTATTTAGGGGACCCAGCAAAGATGGCTGGGTTTCCTTTTGGTTCCCACAAGCAGGTACCCTCAACAAGACACCCCCATGTAGTATTGGGCCATTAGCAGGTTGACTCACCGAAGACTTGGGGAGAAGGGCACGCCAAAGTGGTCATTTCCCAAAGCCCCTGTGTTTTTTGGTTGGCATTGGTGGTTTAGATCCCAGCCATCCGGTTCCGTTGTAGTTGGTTTAGTGGTTCCATTTAACCCACGAGAAGTGATTCACTGTTCGCAGATCAGGAAACGCACAGCCCTGAAAGATCACACTCAACCGCCTGGTTGCTTGGCTACTCTTGCAACCAGGCTGTGTGTCAAGTAAGTGGATGGCGTTTTGTTTTTTTTGGTGGTTGCCGCAACCGTCAAAGGTACTGGTAGCCTACAAAGAAAGGAGCAACTTGAGGCATTTTGACCTCTGAGCCGGGCCTTGCAGCAAGTTGAGGGGTGGCTTGGACCAGGGTGGCCTGTCTTGTTTGGGCTCATTGTCAGGCAGACGCAGCTACTCCCTGCAAAACATTTGGGCGGTGCGCCAAGAAAGGGGGGCTCCCCATTTCGCAGAAGACAGGTGTGGGCTTGGAAAAATGCCGGGGGTCGGGGCTGAAGGTGTCCGGTTTGCTAATCCGCAGCCATCGTTCAGAAAGCACACAAAGGGATTTGATGGGGGGCGTCTCTGAACCGCTTGCTTCCACTCATTTCGCCTGAGGAGTATCCCGACTTTGACGAAGGCGAGCTGCCGGGGCCCTCATCCACGGTGTGTTGAGGGGCTGGTGGCGGGGGAGGGGCATCCCTTGAGACCAACACACACACACACACAGACACAGAGACACACACAGACACACAGACACACACACAGACACACACAGACACACAGAGACACGCACAGACACACACAGACACACACACACACACACACACACCCAGGTCCCCCAGCTAGGAGCCCTTTCTCACCGTTCTTTTTTTTGGGTGGGGGTTCCCCTACTAAAATGGACTACGTACAGAAAAACAGTGTACTTTTATTCTGACCTCTCTACTGGAGGACCTAGACACACTCGACCAGGCATCACTTCCGTGCAGGTCTTCCCGATTTTTCCTCTTGCATTTTGGTCAGATGGGCCGCGATGAAAAAGTGATAGATTAATGAATTAGCAGGGGGACTGTCTCAACCATCGATCGGTGCAGCCGCCCTTTTAGTTTGCTGCATGGTGTTATGGGCAGAGCCCCTCAGTTGCTGATTCCGTACAGGAAATCATCGTGTTTGAAGTTTTTGCACCCAACCAACTGACAGTATCCTTGGGAGTCGATGGCAGACCTTGGTCAATTCACCGTTCGGGACGTGGTAGAGTCACCACATGTCCCACTTGTTTTTCTAGTTTCTCACTTGCGGGAGATGACTTGCGCGTGTTGGCTGCGGCTTAGACTGGCTGGTTCTCAGCAGGGAATGAGTTGGAACCGAGAAAACCCATCCATCGCCGATGGTTTCCTTCCAGTGATACCGAAAAACAATGAGATTTATCCAATGATTAAGAAAACAGAACAACTTAAAACAGTCACTTCCCAGCTACCCTGAGTGGGTGATAGCTTGATAGCTATCGCAGCCATAAATCGAATCGGCCGAGGTCGGAAACCCAGCAGGCCTACGTTTGCAATCGCTACATCTCCCGGCGCCTGGTGCGGAGGTTCGGGCAGGCCGCGTCTGAAGCCGCGCAGTCGCTTGGGGGGAGAGGCCGTTCAGATGGACTTTTGTGTGGATTGAAGCTTCCATTTGCGTTTACAGTAAGAATATTTGTTCATTTTCCCTTGTTGGTTTTAAAGGGAATCTGTCACTATCTGGAATTATTTTTATTTTTGCCAGGGGTCTTAACCAATGGAAGTTGTGGAGTGAAAGGAACACCAGTTGAACATATACGTTCCACTCCCAGGCCACCTTTCCCCGCCCCCCCCCCCCAAGGGTAGGGTCCGGGGTTTGGGGGGGAGGGAAGAAGGGGGGGGTCCACGGCCTGGAAAATATATCTTGGCGGTTCCCAGCCGTCCGGTTTGGCTTTCGGGTTTTTAGTTGGTTTAGTGGCGGGGTGTGAGTTTTGACCCACTAAGAGTTATTCACTCTTGGCAGGGGGTCTGAAAACGGACAGCCGCGGATAGCCTAGATATTCGGCCTTTGGAGGCGCACCCTTTTCAGGTTGGTTTTAGGAGAATCACCAAGGGTTTGGCGAATAAACCTAGCAATACAACGGGAAACCATGGTATCTTCGAAGTCTTCTTCCGTTTTTTCTTGGGAGGGGAAGGAGGGCTCTCTTCTTTTTGTGTCAAATTGGAAAAGGTCCATGTTCTCATCATCAGGCCAACAGTAAGACGCATGTCCGGTCTCCTCTCCATGCGTCACACAAAACAAGACAGCTGCCACATGTCGCCTTTGGTTTGAACGGACTCCAGGCATCCGATTTTTGGTTGTCACGTTTTTCCCCAGGGAAAAAGCCGCGGAAAACGAAAAGAGACGCTTGAGTTGGGCAAAGGTCCATATTCTCATCAGTCCAGCAGTAAGACGGCACGGGTGCACTCGCCAGAAGAAAACCCTTGAGTTGAAAAACCGATCTGGACTCGACCAGCAGTCCAGCAGGAAGACGCATGGGTACACCGCAGAGCATTTTCCAGCTTTTGTACTGCCATATGCGTGGTTTTCCGCGAATATGGCTGATTGTTAGCTTGTTTCGTAGCAGGGTCCCTTCTTGCCTGCTATTGGGTTGGATCTTTCGAGCTTTTGGTTGAAACAATGGTGTTTTCTAGCCCCCCAAGAAGTGCTCCACTTCTTGCCGGGGAAATCTCCCCGGCAAGCACAGCCTCGAGCCGTTCCAGATTTCCACCGCTCCGGGGGCGAGGGGCGAGGGGCGGAAGCGAGGGGCGGAAGCGAGGGGCGCGGGTTGCGACAGGCGGGCCTCGCCGCCGTCTTCTTCCCCGCGGCCTCCAAGGCGCTGAGGCGCTATGCCGCGGAGGTGGCCCAGAGCCAGGCGAGCAATTGGGCCGAGCGGTCGGGGGGGGTCGAGTCGTACGAGATCCAAAAGTACACGTTTATATATATGTATATATATATATATTAAACAAACAACATATATATATATATATATTTATCCATGTTCATCAAATATATCTGTAAAGCATGAGCTTTCTGACTCCCTGCAAGCATCATGATCATCCAAACGCGGCCGTCTCACAGGGAATTCACCCAGATCCAGCTGCGATTTGGTGGGATCTTCGGCCTGGACTTTTCGGGAAGATGCGTGCGTGCTTCTTTATTGCGCAAGAAGTGTACTACTTTTTTTTTGCGTGTGTTCGGAGTGCCAGTGGCCCAACGGGGCCCCTGATGATGGGTACCCTATTCCAACAAGAATGGGAGTGCACAGGAGGGTGCTGAATGAAGGTCCTTGTGTCTATGACTTCCACGCAACGAAGCAGAGCTGCTTTTTTGGGGCGAATGAAAGGATCGATCTCATGCTCCCCCCCAATCTTTGTACGATGTGCCTTTGTCGTAGGGACCCCTCCAAAATGGTGGTTTTCCTGCAGGTTTCCCTTCAAATCCCCACCAACAAAGGGGCCACTCGAAGAAACGGGAACAGACGCGTATTTCTCAAGGGACTTGTCTTCCATTTGCTTGAGAATACTTTTTGATTTTCCCCTGTTGGTTTTAAAGGAAATTTATCACTATCTGGAAATGTTTACATTTTTGCCAGGGGTCTCAAGCAAATGGCAATTATGCAGCATCCATTGGACTCGTCCGTCCCGGATCACCTCTTTGCCAGTGAGGAGGAGACGGACTTCATCGTGGGCGACAAGGGCGCTGACCTGGCGGCGGCCGCGACGTCGGTTTGCTTCAAGAGGACTGCGAGAGTTGGCACCACACGTTTGTTGAGGCGAGGGTGGCCTTGCTTTTTGGGTGGCAAACCAATAAGAATCGTTGGCTGTGTGGGCAGGGCGTGCCTTGCTTACCTCTTAAAAACACAACTTTTTACCTTTTTGGGGGTAACATGGGCTATATGTCTGTAAAGTATTAACTTCCCCAGGGCTTGGAGTTTCAAGAGGTAAGCTTGTTTTGGCCGCTTTCGGGGTTGGCTTGAAAGAACAACCCACCAGAGTGCATCGGCTGGATTCCAAAGAGCTGTTCGAGGACGGTTTTGGCACATGGGGAACAGTTGATAAAATTTGGGGGTGGTTTATACACATCCAGTGAGTCTCATGCAGCCACAAAATGGTAGGTCACCAGTCATTTTTCCCGGTTTTCCTTTGGGTGGTTCCCTGTGTTACTGCTCAGGTAATGCAACTGGGATATTGTTTTGATTGCACTTCAATCTTAAAGCGACTTCCCTCTTTGCTTTTGGTGACGATTGAAGGGGACAATCGGTGTCTGAAGTTAGGTCAACCCTCCCAACATGACATTTGTTCGTTTAGTAAGCACCCCAGACAGGGTTCCTAATGGGACCAAACACCTAATTTCATACCCAAGGTTCTTTGACCATTTCTGGTTGCATCTTTTTGGATTTAGATGTGGCTCAAAATTAAACAGGAGGGGTTACGCAGGTTTTGGTCCATGTTTGCACTTGCCAGGGCAACCCATTTTGGTACTGGTTTTTTGAGCCACAGCCATTTCCTCTATTTGGATCTTTGAGAAAACTCACCTCTCGCTACCACCGATGCATGGGCTCGTCTTGGTCCAAATTTTGTCCTCTCGATGGATGGCTCGGAGCTTGTTGGGAGTTTCAACATGTACCAACCCAACTAGCTCCGCCAGCTGCCCTTTCTCTCACCCTTTCTTGGAGGAGGGTTCCAACCTACTAAAATGGACTACAGAAAAACAGTTGGTACCCTTATTCTAAACTTTCTACTGGAGGGCCTAGCCAAATGGTGAACCTCAGGTTTGTCCCTTTGGTTTCCCTGTAAAACCACCCCATTTTGGGGGGCTCATGGATCCCGGGAATTGAGGGAATCAGAATTCCTTGCTGGGAGATGACCCTATAAATAGCCCACACATACCGTGGATGGTTGCGAATTCCATTTCGTAGCACTTCCCAGTTGCCCAGTGGATTCCCCCTTTTTCTTTTGTTTGGGGAAGGGTTCCGATTTTCTTTAACCTGAACCAACCAAAAAAGGATGCCCTTTTTTTCCCCATGGCCACTGGGCGTCTGATACGTTGAAACCATGACGTTTAGTTGGTTGCGGGGGGATTTGCGAAATATGGATCAACAGAAAAGCACCAGGAATTGGGCTGCAGGTTCTAGTCCTTGGTGTCCATTTACCAAGGCTCCAGAATGGATGCCATTTTTTGACCCACAGCCAAATGGTGTTCGTCGGTCCACAGGGCAAATCCACTTCGGGAAAAAGGGCAACGCGGATGTGCGAGGATCCTGGACTTCATTCAGAACCAGGCGCCCGCCCAAGACGGGATCGATCGGATGCATGTTTTTAAACTCGGGGGACGCCAAGAGGGTGCTGTTTCCTTTTGGTTTTACCTGAAGCCAACCCCAAAAAGGGTACTCTCAAACCTCACGTTGGTGGCTTCCTTTTGCTTTTCCTGTAAACCGACCCCCCGAAAAAGGGTACCGAGCCTGTGGCGCTTGCCGTTTGACCACACAAAAAAGAAGGGGCCCTAGACGTGGTTTCATCAGTTTTTTGCAACGGAGGGCTCCCTTTTTCTACAGGGTCGAAAGCAAAACAGTATGGCTGCTAGTTGCTGCTCAAGAAACTTTCCATGTGCTGCAATGAATAGGTTTCATACTCCCTGTTGGTGTCAAAGGGAATCTATCACTGGATTGTTTTTTCACGCTTCATAAAATGAAAGGGACACAAGGCTCTGATGATCGTTTCGCCACAGGAAAAGTCGACCCCTCTGCAAACGGCACCCTTCAAGAGCCGGTTCTAGGAAGAGATGTCTGCTGTTTTTGGAGGGTACCAAAGGAACCAGCTGGTGAATAGTTTTTTTTTGACACTATCATACCGCCGGTTTCCCATTTTAAATTCCCCCCCCCCTCCCAAGAAAAGCAGTCTCAACAAAAAGCACCTTCCCCCCCCCAACCCCAACCCCACCCCAACCCCAACCCCAACCCCGAACCCCGACCCCCAACCCAACCCCGAACCCTGGACCAACCAAAAGCCTTCGCTTTTTGCAGGCTTTGAACGCGGAGCGTCTCGAGTTCCAATTCGCCAGGTGCATAAGCGCCCTTTTTGGTTTGCTTGAAACATCCAGGGCAATTCCTGGTTTACCTGGTGGTTCTTGCTCATCCACCAGGGAAACCCATCCATTCTTTCGCCAAAAAGGACACCAATGGCCATCTTCCACTATGGCCAGAATCCACTTCCAGGGAAACCCATCTATTTTTTCGGCCAAAAAGGACAGCAGACCCAGCGCATCTATTTCCCCCAGGTGCCTCACACCTTCCCGAGCCACTTCAAGTGTGTGGCGGACGCCTACGAGGCGCGGCCCGGAGGGTCCGGAGGAAAGCGGCGAGCGGAGCGAAGGAGTTCTCAAAGATCGGGGGCCCGTTCCATGGTTGTTGTTGGGAAGCATTTTACATTTTTGCTTGTTTTGGTTGAGTGGTGGAAATCCAAATCCACTTAACTGCTAAGATTTGAGAATTTTAGCTTTCCTTCCAACGTCAACCAAGGTTCCGGTAGACATGTTTTGGTTGGGGCCCGGTTCCTTGTAAAAGACCGTCCGGTCCCCAAATTGGCCCCCCATTCGAACTCGGAGACGTCGAAGCCGAGTTGATGCGTCCATTTGCAAATTTGAATGGGTTCCGAAGGCCGCGCACAAGAACAAAAAGCGCAAAAAAGCACGGCCGTGGCTCAAAACTGGAATCCCATCCCCAACATGGCACCATGGTATATGGAAGCAACACTAAACCTGCGTAGCGCCTCTTTGATTTGGAGCCGCCATGATGGTTCTATGCAAGCAATTCTGTTTCAGAAAAGGAGATCCAGAGGTGCCTGGGGTTCCAGTCGAAAATGAGCATTGGGCACCAAACCGCGAGGTCATGAAAACCACCAGGGAGCTTCCCGCGAGACGGCCGAGCCCAAAACCCAGTGGCTCCAAGATAGGCCAGCCATGTTCCTTTGTGGCTTTGTTGCTGCAATCTGCCCTTCTGAAATCAGACAATGGGACCACGCATCAGGGATATGTCGGATAGTTTGTGAAAGATGGGCGAACAGAATGGACACCGAGATCACCCTTGTCCGTGATTTCACCATGGAGCTAGGATTAAATTAGCGAAAGCCCCCTTGGGTTTTGGTTTCTCTAGCGACCCGAGAGTACTAATTCCCAAAACTGACGGCCGGCTTTTCCAGGGAACCAGAACAACCATTTGGAGGATCTCCGTATTTTGAGACACGTGTCGTTTGTTCGTGGATCCCTTTTAGGGAAAAGACAGACCCATATACCCAAGGGGACCTCTGAGAACCTAAAACAGTGCCATGGCTTGTCATCGCCCGCTGCTCTTTTCGGCTTCAGCGGGACAGGCTCCATTCTTGCACCTGATTGGTGGTATTCCATTTGCCAGGGCCATCGATTTGTCCAAAAGGTCACCAATGTTCACGCGTTGCTGCCAGGCTCCAGTTCCCGGTCCGAGTTTGTCGCGAAATTGCGGGGGGCGCCCTTGAAGCGCTTGGTTCTCCCTTTTGATTTACCCTCCAACCAGCCTTCGACCCCCCCAAAAAAGGCGCACGCAGCCCTAATCGAGTACCGTACCGAAGATTCTGGGCGCCAGACACCGACGAAGACTCGACGAAATCGAGCGAGCGGAGCGTCCATCCGATTCGCCGGCTCATGTGGCCTCACAGAGCCCAGGTCACACAGGACGCCTTCCGAAGGTCGTTCTGGGGGTGTACGGTGCCGTTGTTGTTTCTTTGCTTAATCATATGGGTATGGCTCAAAATTAAACAGGATGGGTTACGCAGGTGTTGATCCATGTTTCCACTTAGCAGGGTTCCATTTTGGTACCGGTTTTTTGAGCCACAGCCATATGTGTTGTTTTTTACAGTTGGTTTTAAAGGAACTCCGTCACTGAGCTGTGTTCATTTGGGACTTGCGCATCTGGCAGCTTTTGAGGCATGTTTGGGGAGGCGTGTTGACATTAGGCTGTGGTGTTTTTCCGCGTTTTGGTCCAGTTGATTCCAGTCCACTCGCGGGGGCTGAGGCAAGGGTGGGGGGGATGAAAGCGACGACGAGCACCAAGGCTGCCGCTGTTCTGCCACTGCGTTGCCCTCTCTCTTGCGCTTTTGCGGAGGCTTGGCTCTTGGACTCCATTGACGTGCTTAGCCTGACACTCTAGGGACCTCTAATCATCGTTCTAAAAGCCAGCTATTCCTCTGGGTTTCCGGAGGTTTTCTAGAATGCTCCGCCTCCCTGGGTTCAGAATGGACATGGAAGCTACCCCTAGAGACACGGACTCCTTGACCGCTCGCAAATTTGCTCGACCTTGTGCTGTCGGGTCCCGCGCTTTGACTCGGTTCGTGCAGCCGATGTCTCGTGAGGTTAGCGGAGTCAGCATAGGTGTCCTTTTTGGTTAACAGCCAAAAGGTTGGGATGTTTTTGGATAAGGCCAACACCTTTTTGGGTCCTTTTTGGTTGTATTGGTAGAAAAAGAAATGGTGATTCCTGGTTTACCTGGTTGTTTAATCATCCAGGGCCATCGATTTCCCCTAAAACGACACCTGTGAGAGTCAGCAGAAAGCTTCCCACTTGCATCGCAGGCTTTGCCAGCGCATAGACCGCTGAGCATATAAATCCTCCAGCGACACGTGCCAAATTTTCTACTTTTGCACTCCGAATCCCAGCGCTCGGGGGCACGAAACCACTGTTTGTTGAAATTTCTAGATGCCGCATGCCTGGTTTGACCTAATAGTTTTCAGGTAACTAAACACGGCCGAGTTTTTTCCAGTGGCTGCAGCACAGCCTTTTATGAACACGCGACCAAGTTGGGTCTGCACCATCAGTCACGTGGAGCCTCTTCATTGGAACAGGTTGGGCTGGGTGGGGTCTCGCTTGCGGTCTGGGTTGGGTCACTTGAGGCTGGAATTGGTTGGGCTCATGTCAGGGAAACAAAAGAGACACCACCATTTTCTTGGGGGGCCCCCTATTTTGGGACAGACCCAGGTGTCAGTTTACTCGTGACCCTTTTTTTCGGTGCGGAACACCCGCCATATCACCCGCCATATCGATCGATTGTCTTCGCTCGGCACTCAAAGACTAGTCTCTGTGCCATGAGATTGAAAGCTTGGTTTGTGTCGGAAGCGGCGCCAAAAACTGTCTCGACTCCTGGGTTCCTGGACTTTAGTCACATTTTAGTGGTTAACCAAGTTCAGCCTTTGTTTGGCCAGTCCACTCGATCGGAAGTGAGTCAAGTGGTTCTCTTTTTTTTTGTTAAGCTAACTTCAAAAGGGGTAGCCTCCAAAACACAGACCCAAGTCATGCTTGAGGGGCCTGCTTCGGTCCAGCTATACGTGCGGGGGTACGTTTCCTGGCTATCCTATGGATGAAAATGATGACGAACACGGGTATTCCTCAAAGCTTTTCATCCATCCAGAGATCCAGAAGCTTTGTCTCCTCTTGGCCTCTCTTTAGAGCCGATCCTAAAGACGGTACGCTATTTCAAGGCAGCCCCTTGTAAGAGGCGTTTGGACGAAGTCGATCACCTCCGTAAACAACCAACGGTAGCCACTGTTCTCGTCGGGGGAACACCAACTAGGTCCCCCAGTAGTGCCCTTTTGCTCTTTCTTGGGAGAGGGTTCCCCTACTAAAATAGACTACAAAAAACAGTTGGTACCCTTGTTCTAAACTCTCTACTAGACAACCCTTCCGCCCGCCTATTCCTGCTTCTCGAAGCAGTCTCCATGTCTGGGCGAAATCGGGGGTGACCTGCGCGTTCGCGCGGCCAAGCGCCTCGCTCGCAGGACATTCGATGGATGGCCGGCCAGATGCGCCCGGCGTGCCGAGCATTGTTCCACAGGCGGGAGTGGGGCGCGAACTGCCAGAGTCAAGTCCTCAAACTCGGTGTGGCAAGGGCCACATAAACCGGTGGAAGTTACACGGTGTATGCTCTGATGGGCCAAGCTTGAAACCGAGCTATCACCGTAGCAACGTGTTTGTGGCTATTTGGGTGTGCCCTTTTTGGGGTTTAAAGGGAAACCGCCTCATTTCACCCACGTCTTAAAGGTGTTTCCCCCAAGAAAGGAACCCTGTTTGAGGAACGCGAAATGGGATTTGATCCTTCCACAGTAGGGCACATCCCCTTCCCCCAAAGAACCAAAGAACCACCTCTCTTCCCCTCTCTCCATCCACCCCCCCCCCCCCCACACCCCATTCCCCCAAAGAAAAGAACCACTTCCCCTAACTACTTCCCCTTCCCCTTCCCCTTACCCAACACTAACCGCCCCCCTTCCCCCAAAGAACCACTTCCCCTCTCCTTCCTCCTTTCTCACTTCCGACCCGGGCGGCGCAGGAGGCCCTGGGCCGGCGCCGGAGCCTGCGGGAGAAGCGGCGCTGCGGGGAGCGGCGGTCCATGGCCACGGTGGCGCGGCGGCTCAAGGACGCGCCTCGGAGCAGCGGCTGGGGGTGGGTGGGGCTGGGAGTGGCTGGGGGTGGCTGGGGCCAAGGGTGCCGTGGGGGTGGTGGGGTGGGTAGTGTCCAAGACTGCTACGTTGTTGGTTTGAGGGGAAACCAAGGGGAAGATCACCTATTTTAGGGGTGCCCCTATTTTGACACATGCCCCGACCGTCGCTGCTTTTCCTAGCTACTACTGGCTACCACGGCTACTTACTACCTATTGCCTATGGAAAACCAATAGCAGCCTCCTTAGTTATCACCAGTAGTAGTGGTCGTCGTCGTCGTCGTTGTAGTGGTAGTGGTAGTGGTAGTGGTAGTGGTAGTGGTAGTGTAGTAGTAGTAGTAGTAGTAGTAGTAGTAGTAGTAGTAGTAGTAGTAGTAGTAGTAGTCGTAGTAGTAGTAGTAGCAGTAGCAGTAGCAGTAGCAGTAGCAGTAGTAGTAGTAGCAGTAGTAGAAGCAGCAGCAGCAGCAGTAGTAGTCGTAGTCGTAGTCGTAGTCGTAGTCGTAGTCGTAGTAGTCGTGGTAGTAGTAGCAGTAGTAGTAGTAGTAGTAGTAGTAGTAGTAGTAGTAGTAGTGGTAGCAGTAGTAGTAGTAGTAGTAGTAGTACTAGTACTAGTACTAGTACTAGTACTAGTACTACTTGGTGGTGGTGGTGGTGGTGGTGGTGGTCGTAGTAGTAGTAGCAGTACAACTACCACCGCAACGGCCACAACCACCACCACAAAGAGATCCGGGGCTGCTGGAGGTAGCACCATGGGCTTGTTTGGAAGGGTCCGAGGCGGGTTTGGGTTTCTTTAGGTTTGGGTGGTTTTTGGCTTGGTTTGGGGTTTCGAGTTGGTTTGGGGCTGGCTCAGCTTGGATGTGGGTCCCTCTGC